TTATAGGTGTTTAAAACCTTTTTTGCTTTCCTGACAACATGTTTATGTATTAGTTAAATTTTTGTATTGTAATACTAAAGTTTACTCTTTTCCATTCAAAACTGCTGTTGTCGAAATAAAAATCAAATCAAATCAAATCGAATTGAGATGATCAACTTTTGAATTGGTCCGACTAGTTCTGGTTCCAGTGCAGTATACAAAGAAAATAAAACAGAGTATGTACATTTTATTATCTTTGCGCATTCATTACCCGCTTGTTTCCTAAGCCATGTGGTGTTCGTAAAAAACTTATAAGTGCTAGAGAATGATGCGTACAAGTTTTTCAGTCGCATGACTTGGCAAAGTCTTACGAATATTCTAAGTAAAGTATATGCAGGCAAAACAATGTACTGAACTGAAAGCAGTTTTGCGATTTTTTTCTACCGACGCTAGGCAAAACAGTTCAAAAGCTATTTTTGTTCAATTCGATTCATTTGAATCGAAAGACAATTTATCTCAAAATTTTTCTGAAGTGAACTGAGTTGATTTTCACCTCAAACCCGGTGCTTTGTGCGATGTAACTTGGAAGAAAAATGAGTAAAACTGAGTGAAAATGTGCTTCGATTCAAGAGAACCGAGCTCTTTGAGACCTAAAAAATGAATTGAATTGAAACAAACTTGCTTTCGATTCAAATGATTCGAACTAAGCGATTTTCATATAAATATATTTTTTCCAGCCATGAGCAAAGTGCAATTTTCAAAAAAAACAGTGAAATGTTGTTATACTTCTTTGACTGGCTCGCTTTGTCATTCAAAATAAAAAAAGCAATTGACTAAACGCGCTTTTTGCTGCAACATGCAATACTTCGTGCCGTAATTTTTTCTATTTCCGTCTTCGTCATATAAGGAGACTTGCAATTGCTTTTCATTTAGGTTTTTCGTTTGTTGTTCGAAACTTTTTCCTGTACTATCAAAGAAAAATCTACACTTCTAGCACATAGTTTTATAATTATGCTGTGTTGTTTCTCTCATTCACTAGATGATAATGATGACAGCGATTTCAAATCAATGGACTTTGAACCTATCCTCTCAAATGATGATGATGCATCTGAATTACAACGTTCTTCCCCTCCACTGCATCGTTTCACCAAACAGACGACAGCAGATGTTAATCGATCCCTTCTAACAATAATTCGACGAGGGAGAATCTCTAAATCAACAGCCACTGATCTCCTCAAATTTATATCATCTATTCTTCCTCAACCCCACAATCTTCCCTCTACATTTCATAAACTATTTGCTTCATTAGATTGTTCAAATCAGTTCACAAAACATGTTAAATGTTCATCATGTTATAGTAAGATAGTAGGTGAGTGAATAGTTTTATTGAAGTGAAAGCCTCAATTAACAGTAATTACTCTGTTCTGTGGGCTTTGCTTACAAGTCCTTTTCAGCTCTGATCCTGAGAAAAAGATTGATATTATTTACTTAATTTTATAATTGCCTGAGCTGATCACAAAGTTTTCTACTTGTTTCAACTCATTTTTCGTAGAATAACTTTCTTCCATCACTCACAGCTTATTTCATCTATTCATATAGAGAGTAGGCACACTGCGCTTTTTGTTTATGGCTACTGAGCGGTTGATAAAAAAATCTCCATCCTGTTTAGGAAAACTTTTTTTGGCGTATTTTTGTTGGAGTTACTCTTTCTCTTTAGGATTAATCAACCATTCTCTCGCATCTGCAACAAAACTGGCGCTTTCATGAGCCCGTTCCCCACCCCCGAATTTTTTTATATTTTTTCTTTCTAGGTTCTAACAAGAGTTGTACTAACACTGATTGCATAAAGGTTAACATGTCTGACAGCAACAATAATATCAAAATTTACAATGTAAATGTCAGTGAATTACCGAAAATTTTGGTTCAACGTAACCAAAACGAAATCCTTTGGTTTCGTCAAAACCAAAAAGAATTTTCTGATGACATTACAAACGGAACACGATATCAAAATGTTCCACGTGGTCTAGGAAGAACAAATTTTGTCTCTCTGTTATTGCATGTCGATGGTTTACCTCTAACGAAATCAAGACAACTATCACTATGGACGTTGTCTGCTCTCTCCTTGAACTTCGACCAGATTTACGAAAGAGACGCCGAAATACTTTACTGTTGTCAGCAAGCGTTGGTCCAGGAAAACCAAATGTAAATGTGTGGCTACAGGAGATTTACAGTCATTGCTAGAACTGAAACAAAATGGAATATCAATTACAGAACTGCACCCAACGCTTGGTTAAGTTCAAGTTGACTTTACAGTAGTCATCTTAGGAGTTGTTGGAGATTTGCTAGCCTTAGCATCTACACTGAATTTTAAAGGTCATGCAGGATATTATTCCTGTTTTTACTGTCTCATCAAAGGTAATTTTTTCTAAGTTGTAGGAATGAGCAGAAGATACGAAAGGGTAGAGAAATAGACAGAAACAGAACAAAAGTCTTCATCAAAAAATATGGCTTTGTTTTTTGTGTCTTTTTCCAAGTCTATAGGTGTACACCAGTCCAAAATGTTATTTCCTTTCGAAGACCATCTTTCATATCGGACGACAGACGACTTCAACAAGTTCTCTCTACGAGCTTCAGCTGAAAAAGATGTATTTGGACATTACGGTCCGTCAGTTATGAGTAAAATATTTGTTAATGACTTACCGACAGCTATAGTTACAGATTATCTTCATACCACTCTTCTTCGTCAGATGAAAACTATTCTCACACATCTGCGAAAAAGATTAAAGGCCAGTGAATTAGAAAAGTTGAATACTATACGTCTCTACAACAACAGAAGTTTCTTCATACTTTCAATCGCCGGTTACCATCATTAATAAATATGGCCTACATGAAAGGATCTGAACTAAGAAATTTATTGTTATATGCTCTTCTTCCAAGATTTCTATCTTGCTACGATGTTGAATTAATGGCATTTTTATCACTGCTCGTGTGTGGTATAAGACTGTTACATGGTTCATCAACACTTTTTCTTGAAAGAAAAACTCGTCAAGTGTTAGCTGAACAGCGATTTGCTCAGTATGTCAGTAAGTTGCATTGTGTTTCGTTTTCTCTGAAACTCACCTGTAAACTGACCTGAACTTTCGAGTTAGGGTCGCAAATAGGAAGCCCAATCTGAGGGGTGTAAGTTGAAAAATTTTCTGTGGGGGTGAGAGAAAAAAATTTCCAGTTCCGCTGGGAGAAAGGGGAAGGTTTGTGCACCCTTCCTATCCCCCTAATATTTGCGACCGTGTTTCGAGTGCCAGTTTCTAAGTTAGCAGTGACCTCCTGTGTCTGAACCGCTTTCGGTGCTTGTAAAAACCTGTGTGCTAGCAATGAACTTTTCTCTGTTTACAACATATTCCAGTGTATTTTGACAAAATTCACACGTTAACTTGTCATTTACACCTACATTATGCTGCTATTTACTCTCAGTATGGAAGCGTGGCATCAACTAGTACCTTTCCTTTTGAGGACTTTATTGATTCAGTTGGCCAACAGCATTTTGGCTCAAGCAGTATTGCTGAACAGTTGATTTTATACTATTCAATTGATTTTTATTTGAATAATGCATCAGAATGTGATAGTCTCATTTCAACTGATCTGTTTGAAATGCATGATCCTATTATTATTCATACATATGATAAAGAAATTGATCAACATCACAAGTCGATATGCGGCTGCTCTGATATTAAAAGTTGTGTGACTGTTGGAAGTAGGTTCATTATTAACAGTAAAATGTACCATTCTCTAGCCTATAGCAAAAGGAAAAATACGTCTAGTTACTCGGTCGTAGCAAAATTCAATTCTAACCTTGTGTATAGTAATATCTGTTGTTTTTACAGAATTAATAACATCAACTCTTATGCTTTATTGGAGTTATTTGAGCAAAAATCAGACTTTTCTGGGTTTTTCAACGCCACTCCCTTTTATTCACTTATTAAAGAGTCTCTAGATCTGTTCTTCGTAGTCTTAAAAAAGCAACCTTGTCAGTCAAAAGTTTCTGTAGAAGTTGATTCTGTTTTAAATCAATGTATTCTTTTTGAATTAGAAGATTGTTTAGTAGCCACTCCCTTGTCTAGAAATGACGAACACGATTAATTTGTACTTTTTCACTTTTATGGGTTTGTTTTTCTGTAGATTTATGTGCGTGTAAAATCAATCTTCACAATTTTATGAATGTCATGAATGTATTTATTTCTTAGGAAATAATACAACTTATAGAAAATTTGTTTGAATTACATCGTCGTTCATTTACAGCTATGCCTGCGAACACAAATTCATTTTCTTTGGTCTCTATTTCTTATTTCAGATAAACGACGAACCTAGGCAATGGCAACAAAACAACCGAATCGTCCAAAACGAAATACACAAGTACCAAACGTTTATACTCCTGATGAGTCATTTCTCTGCTTACTGAACAGTAGCAATACCAATGAATACATTGCAGTAGAAAAAACAGTTCCATTTAGAATTACTGGTAAAACTGCTATGATAAAAACAGGAGAAACAACAACAATGTACATGATTATTGCGCGTGGTAAGTGACAGTCGATTTTCATGGAAAACCTTCAACTGTTTCCCACTAAGTGGTTGAAATCAGGCTATTTTGCTTTGCGAAAACTAGTGGATTCACTACTTTGAAAGGAGATGGCATCTATACTCCCTCCCCCCGGTTGATTTTTTGTTTGTTTAACGTTTTTCTTGTTGTGGGTGGTGTGACAGTATGAAATCCATGAACCAGACTTTGGACATTTATATTGTTAGCAAAAAGCCGGTTTCTGAAAAACCACTTTTAAAAGAAACTTCGAAAAATCCTCAAAACTTTTGTTAATCAGTCACAATTGTAGCTCGTGAAATTCTAATCAAAATGAGACATCTCCCAGCTCTACATGACCTTTCTTTGTAATGTTATAGAATTTACAAGAAAAGCCCTAAATTAATGTCTTCTTTTTCCTTCTGTAGCTTTGAGCTGACAATGAACATGGAGGGCTTTTCGTGCAAATTCTATAACTTTGCAAAAAAAGGTCGTATAGAGCTGGGAGACGTCTCATTTTAATCAGAATTTCACGAGCTACAATTCTGACTGATTAATAAAAGTTTTGAGGATTTTTCGAAGTTTCTGGAAACTGGTTCTCCTGAAACCGGCTTTTTGCTAACAAAAAAAATGTACAAAGTCCGGTCCATGGATTTCATACTGTCACATCACCCACAACAAGACAAATATTAAACAAACAAAAACCCAACGGCGGGGTATAGCCTATGGAAAAAGCGCCACTTCCTTTAATAGTAAAGTCTAGAGGGAAAAAAACACAGAAGTTTTTTCGAAAGATGACTAAAATTAGCGTGGTGTTTGCTCTGTTTTTATACGATCTGAAACAACAATGAGAGAACGCGCAAAACAACTCAGCAAAGCATCACAAGAAGTTGATCGACCAAATAATTATCACCAAAATATGACTCGGTCAAATTATGAACTTGATTTAACAGATGCAGCACAACATGAACCTGTACAACAATTGACTTGTGATACACTACCACGTAATAGTAGGACGAGTAGCTTTTTGTGAAGAGCATTGCTACTTTATTGACTAAGTGTCTCCTCAGGCGGCTGCAACCACGTTTGGGTTTATACTTAACGAAAATCAGCTGGATGCTCCCTAAATCTATTTTCGAAACGCCAAACTCTTAAAAGTACACTACTTCACTTTTTTGGAACCGTCTTAAGGCACCATCATTGTAGAGCAGAAAATCCTCTTCAAAATGAGACTACTATCTCCGTGCAACTTATTTTCACTGAGTTTCTTTTTTTTCTGTAAAGAAGGTGATAGCTTTGCTACACAATCAACAACGAATAAAAGATGTTTTAATCTTGAAGAATACGACGAAAACGATGAAGAAGAGCAAGAAGCACGTTCAGCTCACTTTGCTCGTCAGGCTTCCTTAAGGAAAATAATGCGACGTGCTCCTGATCGTGCAACGAAAGAGGAAAGTCGTTCATCGTCAGTTAGTTCCATTTTCACTAATAGTGCCAGTTCACACTCAACGTATTCGACTAGTTTGAGTAACGATGTTCTTCATGATCTAACAACAAGTATCAAAGGATCTATAAACGAACTCGGACAGAAGATGATGTCAATGGCTAAACAAACACGAGATTTGGTGTGTAGCGATGACAAATTCTTTCTTCGACTTTTGTAACTATTTTACTTTTTATGTAGATTGTTAAAAAACAAGCTGATTATGAAGTTGATCTAAACGGTACATATTTACAAGAAATAGTGAGTAAATGAGCGTCTGTGATTGATCTTTTGTAGCGGAAACCGTCTGAAGATCGAAACGAAAGTCATTATCTGCAATACTATTCGCNGCGAAAATCTGGCGAAACTTTCTGCAAAATTGGTAAACCTCAACCTAGTTCTAAAAACGTTACAAATCTGTATTTTAAAAAAAATTTAATTAATTTACGCAGAAGACGTGTTTTATGCAAAAAAATGTCGCAGAGAACGAGAACTTTTTGGAAGAAATTTCCCCTTTACACACCCACAAAAATTAACATCAAACTTGCTCAAGGCACTGGGTGGTCTATTTTATAAGCAATACACTTTAATCTTGAGAAGCATTCGCAGAAAACCAACGGCAATTTTCTGTAAATAATTTCCAAACAGGACACAGGTTTTGATATCTCATTTCATCGCAAATCAAAACGATGAATGAGTCATATTCTTGAAAATCACCGTCGATTTTCTATAAGTAATTTTCTTATGGAAAATCAACGTTGATTTCTATTTTCTACAAAAATCGATCTTGATATTCAAGTTTCTTGAAATTCGCGCCCGATTCTCAAAGAACTAGGAAATCAAACTTTCTTGAAAATATGTTTGCTTTTAAAAAAGTAGAAAATAAAATTTTTTGAAATGGCAGAAGATTCTCTAAAAACTTGAAATTAACTCAAAATTACAGTCCTGTCAAAGCTTACAAACTTTAGCGAAACAGCCCGAATTGTCTGTATGTCCTGAACGCCTGCTTTTTCCGATCGAAAAACCTCAGGAGACATGCAGAAAACGGAGTTTTGCAAATTTTCTGCATTCTTGTATAAATTCAAAAGCCAGAAAACACGTTTTTTACTCAGTGAACAAAAAGATCTATTTTGATGTCTCTCAGGATATTCTGAATGAAAATGCGTTTTTCCTACCTTGGCCACAAAGTAAGCTGTCTGCATTTAAAAAAACCAGTTTTATGAGAGTGAAAACGCGAAAAACTCGTTTCAATCTGCAAAAGAACTAAAATTTCTTTCCTCGAGGAAAGAAATCAGCGAATTCTTATACTATAGATTAGTCATTTGTAATCTATTAATGTATCATTCGTATGACCTAATTATGACCTTAAAATGATCTAAAAGCGCCTCGCTTTTTTTTGGGCCATTTTAATCTCATGATTCGTTCATGCGACTGATAGATAAATGGCTCATTTATGATCTGTTATGATCTAAAAATGACGTTAATATGATCATCCGATATAATCCGCTAGAAAGATGATGTAAAAATGACCTATAAATGATTCAAAAATGAGCTAAATATGATAATATATCTATGACCATTTTAAGGTCATAATTAGCTCATCAAAAAATGACCTTATTATGTGCCAGATATGTGACAATAAATAACCTTAAAATGAGCTAGTTATGATCATAAATGATCTAAAAATGATCCATTTATGCGTCATTCAGGATCATCAAATGAGTATTTAATGATTCTATTTAAGGTCATTTTCTTCGACCTGGGTTGTCAGCTAAGCTTTTAACATAAGAAACAGAGACATTATATGGTGGACTATTATATAATATTACATAATAGTCCATCTAGATCGATAAAAGTCTATAGAACTGTACTCCATCTAGATCTATAAAAAGAAGAAGTTAAGTTCCTTCTTTAAGTGACATGCTTTTCAACATCGTGAATCCTCGAAACGAATTAAATTAAACAGTGTCCAATCAAAAAGTCGTCGACATCTATTAACCATCACTTCAAAACAGCCTCGTACTGTATCAAATGCTGAAATTCGAGAACGAATGCTAAAAGTACAGAAGTGAATATTTTTCTGCATGACAATCATATCAAAGATATAGGGAATTTACAAGCTATTGGTCCGAGAACAGCTCAGTTTGATGGAGTAAAAACGTGTTTTGAAGAAATAGATCATTTAAGAAAAATTAATGGATTAATCGATACGATAAAAATGTATCGTTATGCACATTAACCGATTGTGGAGATAATTTTAGTTCAGAGAATACTAGTGAATAATAGAAACAGTTTATGATAAAACGATCCAAAGAACTATATATTATTGGACGTTTCACAGAAGCTGGAAATAAAACAACAGGACAATACAAAAACTTATCAGAGAGAGTTAATTATCATTTTCATCATTTTAATGGGGAAAATGCATCGTTATTTACCAGAGTCATATTCGAACACCTGAATCAGTTACTAGGTTAACACCTCAACCAGTTATTCACACTACAAACGAGAGACAAATGCTTTCTGTGATATCATCGTTGCCAGATCCACCATTGTCTGTTTGGTATTCTTTATCGAATTTAAGCAAACAACTAGAATGTGAATAACCAAGTGTAATTTAAATATTTAAAAAATAACTTTGCGTACTTCTCAAGTATTTTCGACTTTTACGTAAAACGAGTGACAACAAGCGTAGATTCTGGTAGTGCCGCTCAGTCAAAAAACATATAGACCAATCGGGATCTAAATTCAATTTATTTAAATAAAATTCGTTAGCGAAAAATTGATGATTTTCGTGGAAAGTTTTGACATCATCATTAGAAAGAGCAGGAAAACTATACTACATTCTTTTTGTCTCATGGTTAATTCTTCTTTCTCATCAGCCACCTTTTTTTCAATAAAAGTGACAACTAAAAACACTATATTTCGATAGAGATATAGCAAGAATTTCTTCCACTGTAAAAATGTGAAATATATCCTGATCGGGATATGGTTTTTTACTGTCTGGATATTAAACTCATATGCACTTGAAACCATTCAAAAATGTTAAGCTTTTCTGTGTACCATATTATCATTATGTTAGTATGTCAGAACCGTATTAGTTAATGAACAACTTTCTTTTTCTCTCTTCGCAAACATCAACAAGTATTTAATAGACATTCAAGTGACGTGTGTGTACACAGATGACTCTAGTAGAAGCTATTGCTTCTGACTTAATCTGCTTTGATCCAAATTTAAAAATAACGTTAGCGTTAGATTCACAAGATTTTTGTTGCTCAGAAATTAAAACCATTCATAGTCAAACCCTAAAAGAAAACTTCGTTTTGAATTTTACATCTCTGCAACAAAAGTCTTTTGAATGTAACGATAACGTTATTTTTGACTTTGGATGATGTTTGCGTGTAGAGAACAAGAAAGCTGTTCATTAACTAATATGGTCCTCAAATAATATTCTGCTAGATAGATAGATATATCTTCATATAGGCGTGCTATTTTGACCCAAAAATATCGTTTTGTTAAGAGTATAACTGACGTTTTATCTAATAAAAATCTTAAAAACACGGGTCTTCTATTTGAACTATCACGTGACGAGACCAGGAATCAAGAAGTACGCCAATATGACTTTCGTCAAACTGGAATTTTGCCAAACTACGAAAATCCAGTGTACTTTCGCCAATTACCGAAAGTACACTGAACTTTCACCAATACCATCCATGGTTTTTTGCCAATAATTCAGTTGCATTTTCCCTCAATGCAAGTTGTATTTTTTTTCAAATGATGACTGCTCTGCACATAGACAGCTTGGCATGCCTGTTTTTAGTTGTTGTCATGCTTCTCTTTTATACTTTTCTCTTTTATATCTCGATTTTTCTTTTCATTGTGATGTAGATTAGACCTGTAACAGTTCCAGCCAATAAGTTTTGAAAGGAGCTGATATGTTTGAACAGTTCTTTTGAAAGGAGCTGATATGTTGCAACAGCTCTTTTGAAATTTTAAAAATTTTTTCAACGACTACTGCTAAAGCTTTCATGCTGAAGCAAGAGCTTGCTCAACTCGAAGCACTGGGCGCTCCTGAAGTCCAGGAGTCCAAGAGCAAAGTGTTCTTTTTTTGGGAATCACTTCCCAAAAAAGAACACTTTGCTCCCGGACTTCAGGAGTCCATGGGAGTCCAGGAGCCCAGAGGAGTCCAGGAGTCCGCTTTTCCCCCCCTTGTATGAACGTCTAGTGAATATTCGGGACTTTTAAATTTTGTCTAGACGACTAGTGAGCTGCTGGAACATGTTAGCTCCTTTCAAAAGAGCTGCAATTGTATATCAGTACCTTGAGGTCGATAACAAGAGAATACAATCACGTCTTCAACTTTTCTTAAAGTAAGTCGGACAGCAATAGTTTCAAAAACTGGATTCTGAAACTCGATTAAACGACTAGCATAATAATCATTATGAATATATACAGCACAACCATCACCGTGTCGATTTCTGTCTAAGAGCAAAGGGCGAGTCATAGCTGGAAATATCAATTTTTGAATTGGAAATAGCGTGGTTCAAGTACGTTCCAGTTAACCAAAGAAGAATAGGTTGACTTATTCATACATAGGCACGTACAACATCTAACTGAGATGTCGAGCTTCTTAAAGTCATTGACGAAATTTTCAAGTCAGTTATTATTCGTATCCTGTTATTACTCATGGAATAAAATAAATCGGTTTTACAAATTCCCCTAGTACCAAGCGGTGAAAACGAAGAAAAGCATTCCACAATTATCACACGCACTGAAAAGCATGCAAAAATAACAGAATAAAACGAAAAGAAATAGCAGCTATTCATAGTGTATAAAGAGTGGAATGTGATGTACCACAGTTAAATTTATGCTTCAGACAAGTTACCGACAACCTCATGAGAAGACAAATGTTCGTATTTAACTTTAGGCTCAAGATAAAACCGTTTTGATTAAAGAACTGAAAGGAGAGATTAATCATACTATTCTCTTTCGAATGAAAACAGAATACAATCTGATATTTGCCGAATATCGGGGGAAGATGGGAAATGACGTGACCCTCAAAAAAATTGGCATATGGCTATCCTACAGGTAGAAACAATCATGCTAAACTGCATGATTGATGCCAAAACGTTGGAAATCAAAAAGATTAGTATTCAGATTATAATGTCTAAAGCAAGACTACAACAAAAATATCAATGAATTCTCTACAGAATTTTTACAATAAGAGAAAAAATTGAAGTTAAGAATCTTGAGGCCAAGATCCATCTTTTAGA